AAAACGAATCTATTTTAGGATAGTGACAACTTAAGAGACAATTTCTTCTAGGTAGGGAAATGTCAGCGTGAATAGCATCTGTAAAATTGCCATTTGTCCCAGGAGTGTGAAGGAGTCTGAGGATGCCCAGGGGATGTGACCTGGAATCAGTTGCCCTCCAGCCTCATCTCCATCCCCAAGCTCTCTGCTCTCTTGTAAGCCAGAGGTACCAATCTGGGTAGTATTTTGTCTGTCCTTTCCTATCCTTAGTTCTAAGTGCTAGGAACATAAGGAACATGGCAGCTGCCCACCGGGAGGTGTCCTTTTGTCAATTAGGACCTCAATTTCCTTCCAGCCCTTGTCCTGACTCTCTTTTTCTGTTAGATCATATCTCCTCTCAAAGGGCAGAAACCCTCAGCTGCCTATCTGGGTTTTCACATATTTCAAGTAATAACTAGAGATGTGTATTACATTATCCTGGAGGCCACAGATAAACAGGATGGGTATCTCAGATGGAAAAGCTCATAATCCAACTAGATTGTAAGCCCCTTGAAGGCAGGTAGGATTATCTTCCCATAATTGGACACACTTAGTAAACTGAACCAATGACTCAGTGGACGGAGCACTGGACCAGGAATCATGGAACCTGAGTTATAGTCTAAGCTCTGCCAAGCTGTGTGATTTTGTGACTTTGTCACAATACCTGCCACTATTCCTGTCATCCCCGTCCTATAGCAGGACTTGGTTTCCTGGTTTACCCAATGGGCAGTTCTAATGTTCAGTCCTGGCCAGTCTCCACATTTATGTGTAAAATGAATGAAAAGGTAGGCTAAAGAATATCTAAGAGCCCTGCTAGCAACAAAATGTTTTTAAATGTCCTCTTAAAACACATGCTATTTGGGAACCGTAAAAACTTGTGGTCTGAGGACAACTGCCATGTGGCGATGTTACAGACATTAAGCTCAAACTCAAAACTTCTAAAAGCAGGTGGACAGTTTCAAGTCCATAATGTTCTGAAGAGCTTATATAATGGGGGCACATTGTGTCCTACTGACATTTGTTTCAAAAATAGCCTTCTTAGCGATACAAGGTGGCCCAAACATCAACCTTGATTTGATTTTCTTTAGAGGAGAAAAAAAAAACATTTAGGACTCATCTGAAAAGAGGCTGATTGGCTTCTTTCTTCTTTAAGAAGTTTAATTTATTTTGACTCTTTCTTGAGACTTTATGGCAGATACTGAAATCTCCTTTGCAAAGCTTTTTTCATCTCTGCCTTTCTTCATTATTTTTTCTACTCTGATCTGTTGTACATACTAAAAGTATAAGAGAAAATGCCCTAAAGATAAAGCTGTGTCTATCTGTGTAGTTTTCGTGTTATTGCAAGAAATACTTCCATGTTCTCCATCCTTTTGCTTATTAAGCACTTAGGGAAGTCACCGGGGGTGGGGGTTTGCCCTCTTTTTCTTAAGCAACTTGCAAACCATAGGAGACCAGGCCTGCCAGAAATGAATGCCTGTTTTCACTTTTCTCCATTTCTATCAATGACAGAGAAGTTGCAAACTTCCCAATGCCGAAAGATGAAATCTTCTAAATGAAGAGGAAGACTCACTTAGCTTAGATCATCCTCCCTTACAGACAGCCCTCGCTCTAAGCATGAGAAGAACGTCCATTTTTCATAGCCACACGTCTTAGAGGAAAGTGGAACTTGGCAGTCCACTCAAATAGGTTGGTTTGTTCTCGGTTCCTGGGAATCACCTTGTGTTATAATCTCAGAAAGCACCAGACACTTGTTCTAGGTCAGGGGAGGGAGGAGGACATTTCTGTAAGAGCCTTCCCTGGCTATTGCTTTTATCTTTAGTAGAAAGAACTGGGTGAAAAAGATGGGTTGGCTCCTCCAGGAGAATTTTTACCTATTCAGCAGTAGAGAGTTGGTTTCTAAATTACCAAACAAATATGGGACTTGCTAATTCTCAAGCTCCCTCACTCACACATACACAAACTGGAAAGAGGAAGAGAATGTGGAGATTACGTCGGTGCAGTACAGAGGACATGCCAGAGGAGAAACCAAAATCCACTGAGAAAGCTGGTCTTTGTCTGAACAATGTCAAGAAATTTGCTTTGCTCTTCAGCACTGTGTTTAATGTCCTGTGCAGTGACAGGAGGGCACTGAGCTATTTACACAGTGTGACAGGCTTTCTCTTGAGACAGTAGAACGCTATGGCAATTGAGACATAATGGGCTGGTAGAGCCCATGCCAGTTACTCTGCCCTAGTGAAAACAGCCCCTAAATTCCTTGTCAGGTTTATGTGGCCAAATACTCTTCCCCCCAGAATGGCTAAGGCACCAAGGGCCTTTGCAATATGTTTCAGCTATCTTTTAGGATGGGATGGGTCTGCAACACTTGGCTGTTAGGCGGTATGCGGCAACGGTTAAAGAACACACGCTTCATAGTCAGAGACCTGGGTTCAAATCACTGTGTCAGAACAAGCTGTTGGCCTTGACATGAGACTTCACCTCTCTAGGTTTCAGTTTTTCTCGTCTGTAGAGTGATGTTAACAATGTTTTGAGGATTGAGTTACATAGTGCTTGTAAAGCACTTGGCACAATGCCTGGCGACCAGTAAATATGCAACAAATGGTAGCTAATAAGAATAAGAATATTATAGGATTACCTCTCACCATGAACTCAATTTAATGGGTATTGGCTGGGCATTATTATGTGCCACCAGGCATTCATTCATTAAAGCAAAAAGTGAGTATCTCCTATGTACCAGGTAATGTGCTAAGAGCAGGGGAGAGCTGTGAGCAAGACGGGACATCTTAGAGCCCGAGTGTTGGGCAGATTAGGGACAGGAAGTAGAAGAAGACTTGATCACCAACTTGTAAAGAGGTTACAGCTGTGTCAAGATGGTTCCGAGCTTCTCAGGTTTCTCAGAAAGCATGATGGGTGCTCTGTCCCTTCTTCAGCCCCTCTCTCTGGCCTTAGAAGTTCTTCTTGCTCATAACTGGGTTCACTTGCATCTTATCTGCAATTCAGCCCTGCCCCAGTTCCCAGGACCAGCCTTGACCCAAGACAGGGTCCAGCCCCACAGCTGGGGGCTAAGGTTCAAATCGCCTTGCAGCTTGTGTGACTGGAAGATGGCGCCTTGGTTTTGATACTTGAGGTCCAGTCTCATTTTAAGCCTTAATTCCCTTTGTGTGCCCTTATTTTTAGAAATGAGCTTCTGCCTTTGTGCCTGTTCCTTAGGACCTGTTCCAAAAACTTATTTAGCGACCCCAGTACTATCTTACGATTGGAGAGCTATACCTTATTCTTGTTAATTCCTGTCTCAAGCGCTAGAGTCCTTATCCTAAACCTCAGTCCAATAGCTAACTTGTGGACATTTGCTTCTTGCCAGACTCTTCTCAATATATCCACCCCCTAAATTCCTCTCCTTCCCCTAACCTGTTGTTTAGACAGGGACTGGTGGTTGCAAGTAACCTTTGTCTGTTAGAACTAAACCTCTGCCACTGCCACCTGCACTTGGGTTAGTTTTCTAAGGACTGGTTCACCCAATGGGTGGTTCTTATGTCCAGTTTCGTTTATTTCCATATGCCTCATTGGGTGGCCCAAGAGCTGACCTTCCCAATCAGAGGCCAAAACCTTTTAAAGCTAAGCCCCTGAGGAGCTCTGAAGATACTACTGTACCCCTTTTAAAAAGCCCTAACTATTAGTATAATTCTTTTGTACTTCGCCCATGGGCAAGCCCTTGGCAGAGACATTCTGTTCATTCATTAATTCATTCAAGATATATTTATTGGACTTCCATTATGTGTCAGGCCATGGCATATTGAAATGACTCAGATATGGCTTCTGTTTTCAAGGAGTTCATAGACTAGTTGGGACAGCTAAACTTGAAAACAGATCGTTATAATAGAGGTTCAAAAGTACTATGAGAGGGCTTCCCTGGTGGCGCAGTGGTTGAGAGTCCGCCTGCCGATGCAGGGGACCACGGGTTCGTGCCCCGGTCCGGGAAGAGCCCACGTGCCGCGGAGCAGCTGGGCCCGTGAGCCATGGCCGCTGAGCCTGCGCGTCCGGAGCCTGTGCTCCGCAACAGGAGAGGCCACAACAGTGAGAGGCCCGTGTACCGCAAAAAACCAAAAAAAAGTACTATGAGAAAGCAAAAAAAATACTATAAGGAAGCAAAAAGCAGGGGCAGCTAACCAGATTGCAGGTGGGTAAATGGGATTAGGGAAGGCTTCCTGAAAGAGGTGACACCTCTGAGTTCTGAAGGACTGGTAGGTGGTGTTAGCCAGCTGAAGAGAGGTGAAGGTCCTTCCAGGCCTGTCTTCAGGGAACAATGCATACTTTGCTATAGCTGGAACATTGAGTGTGAAGGAGGAAGAGGACCAGATGAAACTAGAGAGGTAGGTGGGGGCCAGGTGACAAAGTGCCTTCTTTGCCATGCTAAGGAATTTGAATTTTATCCTGATTTCTAAAGTGAGAAACTACAATAATGTGGATTTGATTTGCCAGGGTAAGAGCAGAGGCAGGGAAACCAAGTAAAGACTGTCAAATAGTTGCTTGAACCGTAACTAAGATGATGATGGTGGGAATGAAGAGTGTATCTGGATTTGAGAGACAGAAAAGTAGAATTGATAGGATATGGTGACTGACTGGATATGAGGGGAGCGATGAGGAAAGATGACCTGGTTGCTTAGGCAACTAGGTGGGTGGTGATTCTGCTGCCTGAGACAGGGAACACAGAAGGAACAGATTTTCAATAGAGGGCAGGCTGTACTTAATGTTGCCAGATAAAGTTCTCCAAGTCTACTTTCCTTTTAGTAAAATAATCCTGTTGCCCAAAGGATGCTATTGACAAGCTGCCTTTACAGAATTCAACTGTAGAATAAAACGTTTTTCATACAGATCATATGAAAACTATACAATTGGATAAATACTGCACTTGAAAGTTAAATTCCTCTATCTTTATTTGTTGGAAGGCATAGAAATAAATGAAAACAGAGTCGAAAAAAACTTACCCCATAGACAAGTTCCCCAACCATGCCGTTCCATATTTTAGTCTCCGGATCCCTTGCACCGTATTTCCCATCACCGACAATGGACAATTTGTATTTGATCCTTACATGTTTGGCTATTTCATAGGCTAAGTCTACACAATAGCCTTCGTATCGCTCATTTCCTTCCAGTTGCTCATGATTCTTCTTATACATTACGTATGGTGATTCCTTTGAGACCAGAAGCAAGATCAAAGGATTACTCCTATACATTTTTCTAAGAGATAATAAATGTAATAATGAAGTTTTGTTCCCCTGTGGCTATTGAGGTTTGGTGTGTTAAGAGAGCCTTTAAAAATGATTGCTTAATAAGTAGAAGAGCCTCAATCGACTGTTCATGGGGGCACATATTCCTTGGAGTCCTTAATTGATGATTTAAGGAAATAGAGAAGAATTTAAGTTCTTTTTGAGAGTTTGAAAGAACCAGTTTCCACCTGTAAAGTCTTTGATTTAGTCAAGTTGGGCAGAGGTATTTCTTTTAGTTACACGAAGGTTAACTGCCTTTGATTTCTTGGGATTTACTATGTAAGAACCATAGCCAGCCCTGGCAAGCCCTAGGGAAGCACTGTGATCTTTGTGAGGTCAGAGTCTGTGGCTTATTCATTTTTATATCCTCAGGGCCTAGTACAGTACCTAGGACAAAGTGAGTGTTTGATAGGCATGTTTAAATGAAAGAGAAACTTCAGCTGAATCTCCATTTAATTAATCACAATTTCAGACCTACTCATTTTCAGGCATATTCATTTTTAACCCGGGTTTGTACTTCGTTCAGTAATGAAACATACCAGGTTTTAGAAAAGCATTTGAAAATAAGTGGAAATACTATTTCGCATCCCAGTAGTGCTTTTGGTTTTTCAGAAAAGCTTTGCATGGTGAATATTGCCTTGAAACGTCTTATGACATGGATAGGAGATTATTATGACGACCATTCCATAAGTTAAAAAATAACACAACCTGAGGCTCAGAGAAGTTGTGATTTGCACCGTTAAACTCAGGTTAGTGGTAGACCTAATATTAGAACCCTGACCTACTCTTTCCTCCATATAACGCTAGCTCCCCCACAATGAAGAATTACATTTCAAGTCCAGATGAAGCATCAGTCCATGAGGGTAACAAGGAGGATAACAAGATCTAAAACTATTGCGAATTCCTATTCTTTTTCTTCATTTAAATGACATTCTGTTCCTCATCATGGCAAGACATTTCGAAAGGTTCCTAAGCTGACCTGTTGGAAGTTTCCACTGTTTGAACTTGAGGTCTTTCCTACTGGCTGAATAATGCTTTTCAGAAGACAGAAGTCTTGCTGTACAGAAAGCCCACCTACCTTCCATCCATACTTACCAGAATGGTGGTTACTACTATGGTCCGGTTCTCTGCAGATGCACTGTCATTGCTGATTTGCTGATCTGAGAAAGGCACAAACCTTTCATACTCATTCCAGTAGCCAGCCTAGAAAGAGCAGACATTTGACCTGGTTGCCTATTTTTCAGTCAAAAAGTGCTGCACGAAATTCAAGTGCTGTAGTAGAATGAAACCTTTTTGTAGTTGCTTGAGCAACAGATGTGCTGTTCCTTCACCCTGGGGGTTCCCATCCCCACCTTGCTTTTACTGATATTTGGTAAGAATAAGTTAGCCCACTGTAGAATTATCAGCCTTTTTGATTCTTTAAACTCAGATAGCAGAAAAATTCTTTCCTTAAAACTGTAGGAGAGCTGGGTGGGCAATCAGTTGAGTATCCTGTAGAAATGGTACAAGATATTTTATGTTCTAAGGTTTTATTAAGTAACTACTAAATTCCCACTTCCGGACTAACTCACTATTAGTATGATAGACGCAAAGTGGTTATTATGAAATTTAGCTGTAGGGAAAGGTACTTTGTCCAGAGTCGTTTTGGTGGGTGAGTTGGCAAAATGGAGAGATTACCTACTTTCCAATTCTTTTGCTAAAATCATGTGTATCTTGGCAGCTTCTGTTTAAATAACATGCTATAAAATTTGTAATTCCTTCCCTGTATTGTAGGAAGCTGTTAATTAATCTTGAGTCTACCACTTTTAAAGGACCAGCCTCAGAGGGAAATAACTTTTAAAATGTGTAGATGGAGCACTTTGATTACAAAACAGCTCTGCATCGTATCTACACTATTCACCAAACGGAAAGGCAAACATGATGTGTGGGAATTTGCTTTGGGTGTGTTTCCTAACACCTATTTCCTTGCATCTGAGGGCTGTCACTTTCTGAGAGATTTTTTATTTGGATATCTGTTTGGGTTACTTACCTTCCGAGAGCCAGTGACTTTCATTTCATACACATCGATGGTATAATTTGTCCTACGTCCGTAAGTGTCAAATTGGATGTTTCCAGTCATTCCTTGTACTTGCACCTGGTAGAAAGGGAAAAATGTAAAATTTAAAAATAGCACCACATTATTGCCTTTTTGGTTTTTGCGATGAGGTCCGCTGACAGATCTTGGAATCTTGGAGAATGTTTATCTTGAGCCATTGAGCTATAGCCACCAGATCAGTCTATACAGATCTTCATTTCCTCTGCAGTATTTCCTAAGTATGCCTTTCAGTTAATGAAGCTTTGAGTGGGTGTGACAGGCAGTTTCTTATATGATACAGTGAGGGCCCTACCGCTACTTTTTCAAGGACCTGAAATTTCTTTCTTTTTTTTTTTAAATACTTAACTTTCTCTTTATTTACTGGTTTTCAGAATAAAAATCTTTCATAGAATTGTCTAAAGGTAACCCATGTTTTTAGTAGTATTATCAACTCATAGATTTAAATGTATTTTGTGTATTTCAATCCCTTTTTTTTAAACTGATTTTTTAAAATTAACTTTTATTGCAGTATGGTTGCTTTAGAATGTTGTGTTAGTCTCTACTGCACAACAAAATGAATCAGCCATACACATACAGATATCCCCTCCCTTTTGGACTTCCCTCCCATTTAGGTCACCACAGTGCATTAAGTAGAGTTCCCTGTGCTATACAGTGTGTTCCCATCAGTTGTCTATTTTATACATAGTATCAATAATGCATATGTGTCAATCCCCGTCTCCCAATTCCTCCCACCCCACTCCCTTCCCCCTTGGTATCCATACATTTGTTCTCTACATCTGTGTCTCTGTTTCTGCTTTGCAACTAAGATCACCTATACCATTTTTCTAGATTCCAAGGAACCTGAAATTTCTACCATTCGTCTTTTCTGAAGGGAGTTGCCTGAAGAGTATTCTTAACTAGGATAATGCGTTCTTCTGAACTGTGAGTTCCACTATTCCCAACATCCAAACATAAACCAGCTTCAGTAACGTGGGCTCTGGAGCTCCTGGATTCATACTGTAACTTCATCACTTACTAACTGTATGACCTTGGGGATGTTCCTTAATGCTTTTGTACCTCAGTGTCCTAATCTGTAAAGTGGGAAATCCTAGTAGCACCTGTCCCATGGAGTTGCTAGGAGGATTAAATGAGTTATACATATGTAGTGTTTAGATCAGTGTCTGGCATGTAGTGAGCATTGCAATACATGCTAGCTCTATTAATAATAATAATTATTAATCAAAATGAATTTAGTTCTGTTTCTTGAGGGGTTTACACATTTATCAGCTACCATAGTAACAGGGATGAGTTTTTCCTCTTATTTAACCTATGCCCAGTTCCAGACAGGTAGTGGAGAGCTAGGCCATGGAGGGATAATCCAATAGACTGATGAAATTTGTTAAGTCTAGGGAATCAGGAGTATTGAATACTATATAAAACAGATAGAGGTACTAGAATAGCCCAGACACCTAGTTGGGAGGCCAAATGCAGATGCATGTATGCCACAATTTTTCCTGGGTCTGGGCCCCGTGTTATGAATTAATATGAGGCCATCTCCACTGGGTGGAGAGATTTCCTTACCTGTTTTACAGTTCAAGGACACTGGATGAAAGACCCTCTATAAATATGTCATTATTGTTACCCACTTGAATTACTTATCTGGTGAGTATGGGTCAAGGAATTTGCTTCAAAGAAAAAGAATCTGTCACTCTCCCAAGATGAGAGAATGGAATACTTTTTCATCTCTTATAGAAAAGTGACAAGCTGTTTGTTAAGCAAGTGAGAAGCGGTAATGGGCTTGTGCTGCAGAAGAGAAAATTGATGGCAAATAGTAGGGAGCATCTTTTTAAAGGGAACGGGGCTTGTTCGCCACCAGTAGGAGACCATGGAATATCTGTTGAAGGAGAAATGCTCCAATGTGACTCCCTGAAGACAAGATGAGTGTCCTACTAAGTGAACAAACCTAAGCACTACTGTCAGCTTAGGCTTGCAGAGAAGGTGACGTCATGCTTCTGGCTAAAGAAAAGGTCCTTTGTTGAGAAAGAAATTGCTTATCCAGCAGGATGGGTCTGATGCATACTGTGGTGCATGAAGGGTTCTTTACACTCTATTTTGGGCACTGAATTGTAGGAGAGGAGATAGGCAGGGTAGAGACACTGGCAGAGGAAATTATTAAGGAAATCCTTTGTTAGTGAAAATAGCAAAGTCTTCAGTCTCATTAAGAATTGTATATTTCTGAAGATTCAGCCTATCTGAGCATGATCTGCAAACTGGACAGTAGCCTAAGCTGATTAGAACTTTTGGTGAGCAGAAGTCGAATTGGACTACCATTCAGAGACAAGTCTATTTTTAAGGATGTGAATGTCAGTGACAGTTTCCCACCATCCCATCTGGGATCCCTTCTTTAATCCTCTCCACCCCGCACCTCAGTCTATATTAGGTGCTTCTCCTCTGGGTTCCCATAGCATTCCGTGTGGAGCTTCACCATAACATTTTAATCATCTATGTATTTCTAGCTCCCCTGCTAGATTGGGAGCACCTCAAGATGAAAGACATTTTTTTTCTGTGTTCTCAGCAACTAATCCAGAGCCTGGGATAGAGCAGGTGTTCAATAAATGTTTACTGAACAAGTTGACAAGTTTCGATGACTTAGAATTGTGACATACTTCCATCGATGGATTGTAAGGGTGATGATTACCCAATCTGCAAGTAGCTTTAAGGTTTTTAAAAGCATTTGTTTACATATTAGCAATTTAAATTTGAGCTCCCCTCATCTTATTTCATGTTTGCATTTTAACTTGGAGCCTGATACATAGTCCTTGGTGCTCAACAAATATTTGTTTAATGAATGGTGTGATTATTTATTCATTAAAACAGGCCCCTTAGGAGACTCTTTCAGGTAATGATTTTGTTTGCCAGATTTCTTTGAAGGAAGAGAATGATTGACTGAGCAGCAATTATGTGCTTGTCACAATGAGGGATGCTTTTACATCATGTATCCTCACTTTTAGTTAACTTAAATAAAATGGGATTTCTTTTAATATGGTAAAAACCTTTAGTACTTCAGACCACCCTCTCTTGCAGTCCTCTGAAAAGTGGAGTTTCACTGATCATTTGTCACAAGGCAACATGTACTTTTGGCAGAGGCTGATACTTTCCAGCCTCTCTGAAGCCTTAGAAAGAGGCTGGCCTATGGAAAGAGGGAAAGCATCCTTTCTGTTGAGTGTTTGATCATGAGGGCCTGGGGAGGAAGGTTACTTACCTGGCTTACAGCTTGAGCTATATCAGTGAGTTAGACATGTGGAAACTTTGTGCAATAATATGATCAATCTAATGTTTTTCTTGCCAAATTCATTTCTTGTCCTTCACTCTGGCAGCCAGTTTTGTATTTGGGGAAGAGAGTCATTTGTGTCATGAATGGGAAGTCAATCGAAGACGCTGGTACTTGCCCCTTGAGGTTTTGATGAAAACTCCTTTTGGTTCACTCTGAGGGAGTTTTATATTTCACTCATCATTATGTTTCACCTGACAATACAAATCTTGTAACAGCTATGAAGGTTGAATCTAATTAACTGTTCTTCAAAAATTGTGCAGTGCTACCTCCATAAAACTACACTTAGGGCATTTGTTAGGGAACTGACATAATGACATAAAAATCTGCATGATGGGAGAATGAGTCATATCTCTTTCTTGGAGAGAGACACAGTGGCTACTAACCCCTTTCTACTGAATGCTTCCAACTTGGCAAATTTAAGGCAGCAGTAAGAGAGCCAGCTACACAAAACGATGTACATTATGAGGCCATTACAGATTCCTGGTTGCTGGGTTGTGCACAGAATTATCTTATCATTGCCTATCTCTTTGTTGATTTGGATGTTCTAAACATCAGGATAATTAAAGAAGTAGAAATAAGAGAGTCTTGTACTCTCCAAGTACTCTCTTATTTTAATGCATGCAGGCGTGTGTAGCTTAAAGCAAAATATTCAGGAAAGAGCTCTTGCTTGGAAAGCTACACTGAATGGGCCATGCTACTCCTAGTGTAAATAATGGAATCTGTTCAAAGGATACTGCTCAAAGCCTTAAATGCTCTCCCACCCAGTAAATACTAAAAACAAGTGACCTATTTGACTCTCTGCCCATTGATTCCTTGTACTTTCCTTCAGGCTTTTTCTCTAGGGCATTGGGGAAATAACTCTTAAGTAGGCCTAGAATGGACTGTGTTCCTGCATTTCACCATGTAGAATAGTATAAAGGTTCTTTTTGACAAATAGAAATACTATCACACTGGCTCAGTTCCACAGTCCATCCAGGCTAATAATTTGTCTGATGAGCCAGAGGATGCTGGTAATGTCTACCCTGAAGTTAGGAGTTTCCTAGAGAATATCCCAGTTCCCCTAAGCAACACAATTTTCTGGAAAGTCTGAATTTTTTGAAGCCATTTACATGTTCAATCCATAACTTTCAAGGGTACTGAGTTTGATTTACTATCCCCACTTTAGTACAGAGCTAAATATTCATTTGCCCTAAATTTACCATTTCTCAAGCTTCAAGGAAGAATCTTCCAGTTTTAGATTTCTGGATTTTGGTGAATAAATATCGATGCTTATCTTTCTGTACACTTTGAACATTCTACAGACTCTGATCCTATTCCCTTTAGGTTATCTTTTCTCAAGATTGAGGTCTTACTCTCTTTGTGTCTTTATAAGGTGCCCCCAACCGAATAACCCACTGTGGTCATTACCATTTTCAGAGCTCTCTCGATATCAATTCCTTGACTCCAGGGCACAGCAGGGTTTGCTAAGCAGTCTCCAGCACTGCCTCTCCGGGACACATCCACTCGCTGCCTCCTCAGATAGCGGAAAGCTTCTGCTATGACCAGTATCGCATCGTGCGTCAATGCAGATGTGTACTGAAATGGATGTATGGAAAACAAGATATCATGACAAACGATGCCCCCAAAACTTGCCTCGTTTCTTATAATTTTCATTCATCTCCAACTCTTGCTCTATGAAGTCACCCTCTTAATTACTTGAATCAAGAGATCTCTCTGGGCACGCCTGACTTTGATCCATTCTAGAATGATGCATCTTACCTCATGTGTGCACATGTTAAGATTATTAAGATCAAATGGCTCAAGGGAATCTCTCTTACTCTCAATACTGTGTTTCGTATTGAGTGAGTGACTGCTAAAAGGCCAGCTCCTTTATAGAGAGCAAAATATGTGGGAAGTGAAAGGATGGCATATGTAGATTGGAAAGGAAACGGCATATCCTAAAGCAAGATTGAGTTATCGCTGTTTGTAATAGAAAATTCAGATCTGGTGTTTACTTAGGGGAAAGTGGAAATAACTAAGTTAGACAGCTTGAAATTAATTTGGAGGGAAACATTAATCATTTCTGTCTGGACCACGTTTCTGGTGAACTAGGACCTCTGGCCAGCAATAAATCAGTTTTTGTTTCCTTGGGAGAGCAAAATCCAAAGCTGGTTTTTGACTGTAGAAAATTACAGTTGTTATTGAGTTTTAAATCTGATAACATTGACAATTCATAGGCAATACTTCGTGATGCTACCTTTTTCAGGCAAGAACACTTACTTTCTATTTCTTGGATATACTGTGCTGATACACTGTACTAAGGATGAGGCCTGTCATTTAATACAAGGGATTTGATTTTCTGCAATTTGACATGGTGGATGCCTTTTCATTAATGAATCAACAAAGTGTGATTAAAATTAGCTGGCCCCTGTTTTGCAGGGGTGACAAATACTGGTAGAATACAGAATTCTGTTGATTTCTAAAAAAAAAAAAAAAAAAAAAATGAAGCAAAATGCCCTGGGGGGAATTTTCTGCCTATATAGTGTGTCCCAATACAACTGTGAATGAACGCATTGTCATCTTTACAACTATCAATTTACTTTTCTGACGTTTCTCGTGTTACTTTTCTTTCAGGGCCAAGTCATCAAGTATGACTGTAACAGGGGGCATAAGCTCTTTCATGAAAAAAAAAATATCTGTGTCTGCCCGTGCTAGCACTACATAAAGCCAACATGGTGGTGATTTTTTTTTCCAGCTGACTGCATAAACTGTCAGCAATCTTAATGTAGTCCTTTCCAAGCCATGCCAAAATAGCTATTTAATTTTCTACTTTTTCAGCTTCTACGGACTAATGTGTGACCATCTAAAAAAAAAAAAAGACCCCAAAGGAAATGTTCATAAAATATAGAATAAATTAAGCATCAGGATTTTAATCTCTAGACAATTTTATTTCCTAATCAAAAATATTGTACATAATTTTTTAACATGGGCTTTTTGTCTGTTTGATATAGAGACAGGTTCCATAATGACTAGTACAAGTCAGAGTAATCCGAAAGTTGTAACCACCTATTTAAGTATTTCGTTTTCTTAAGCTGTTTGAAGGGTTTTGCTTATAAGCCTGAACAATTCTTCTCAGTAAGTTCTAAGAACTTTACATAACACATATCATGAGTTACCAATGAATAATCCAGAGCTGAGATTGTCTTCCTTCTCTTTTGTACACCTCTACAACTTCTGAACAGGCATAAATGACTGTGTAGCACCCTTTTCATACTTTTACTCTTGTCCATTTTTTGTGCCTAGCATAGTGCCTGACATTGTGTAGGTAACCCATAAAATATTGAATAAATGAGTTTTTTTCCTCTACCTATTGCCTGCTAAATCTAAGGATGGCAAAACAGCAGATAGGCAGTTGTATGAAAATATAAATTAATATAAGCTCACCTAAATGTAGTGGGCAGATTTAGTCCATAAAAAAAAAGATTTGACTCATCAAAGAAATGCAAATCAAAACCCAAGTGAGGGACTTCCCAGGTGGCACAGTGGTTAAGAATCCACCTGCCGACGCAGGGGACACGGGTTCGAGCCCTGGTCCGGGAAGATCCCACATGCCGCGGAGCAACTAAGCCCGTGCGCCACAACCACTGAGCCTGTGCTCTAGAGCCCGCGAGCCACAACTACTGAGCCTGGGAGCCGGAGCTACTGAAGCCCGCACGCCTAGAGCCCTTGCCCTGCAACAAGAGAAGCCACTGCAATGAGAAGCCTGTGCACTGCAATGAAGAGTAGCCCCCGCTCGCCGCAACTAGAGAAAGCCCGCGCGCAGCAACGAAGACCCAACGCAGCCAAAAATAAATAAATAAATAAGATGAATAAATTAAAAAAAAACAAAAAAAAACCCCACAATGAGATAGTACCTCACACCTGTCAAAATGGCTATTATCTGGGGCTTCCCTGGTGGCGCAGTGGTTGAGAGTCCGCCTGCCGATGCAGGGGACACGGGTTCATGCCCCGGTCTGGGAGGATCACACATGCCATGGAGCGGCTGGGCCCGTGGGCCATGGCCGCTGAGCCTGCGCATCCGGAGCCTGTGCTCCGCAATGGGAGAGGCAACAACAGTGAGAGGCCCACGTAACGGGAAAAAAAAAAAAAAAGCTATTATCAAAAAGACAAGAAACAACAAGCATTGATGAAGATGTGGAGAAAAGGGAACCCTCGTGCACTGTTGATAGGAATGTAAATTGGCACAGTCACTGTGGAAAACAATAGGGAGGTTCCTGAAAAAATTAAGAATAGAACTACTATATGATCCAGCAATTCCACTCCTGGGTATCTATCTGAAGGAAATAAAATCACTGTCTCAAAGAGATATCTGCACCCCCATGTTCATTGCAGCATTATTTACAATAGTGAACACATGGAACAAACCCGTGTTCATCAAATCATCAAATGATGAATGGATAAAGAAAGTGATATACACCCACACATATATACATATATAAAGTCATGTCAATTATATTTCAATAAAAATATATATGCACACACAGACACACATACAATGGAATATTATTCAGCCATAAAAAGAAATCCTGCCATTTGTGACACACAGATGGACCTTGAGGGCATTATGCTAAGTGAGGTAAGTCAGACAGAGAAAGACAAATACTGTATGATCTCACTTATACGTGGAATCCAAAAAAAAAAAAAAAAACTCATAGAAACAGAGAACAGAATGGTGGCTGTCAGAGGTCAAGGCTGGGGAATAGGGAAAATGAATGAAGGTGGTCAAAAGGTATAATCTTCCAGTTATAAGTTCTGGGAATGTAATGTATAGCATCGTGATTATAGTTAACAATCCTGCACTGTAGTTTTTGAAAGTTGCGAAGAGAGTAGATCTTAAAAGTTCTCATCATAAGAAAAAATTTGTAGCTGTGGTGGTGATAGATGTTAACTGAACTTATTGTGGTGATCATTTTGCAATACATACATACATCACATCAGTATGTGGTATACTTAAGAGTAATACAATGTCAATCATATCTCAATAAAAAATAAAATCATCATCTTAAAAAAATGATTTGACTACAAAGGATTCCTCATAGGAATTGTGACCATATTTACTGAAACATATGAGGACACCTGGAAAAATCTGGCATGTGTAATGTAATCACTACAACTACAGAGGATCACTTAGCTAGTGAGTGGCTTAAATTAATACAAAAAGATGTTTAACTTACGACTTTTCTAGAACATACCAATTGCATAAAGTAAGGTCCCACTTGTATTGTGTTGATGTGACCCATTCAGGGTGGACCTGCGTAGGTGATTCAGAATGTGTCTCTTTTCTATGTCCCATTGTTCCTCCTTCTTCTATTCTTGCCAGGGAGGAAGGATATGAGGATGGGTATCTTGAAACCATGAGAAAGGAAATGTCCCCTCCCCTTTCCTTTTTTAGGGAGGGGCCTTGAGCCTTGACTCTGCTTTGATCCCTCCTCTTGATCACAAGGATCCCACAGCCATGGCACATACATACTTTCACGTACGTATCAGGAAGAAAGAATTTAAAGTCTGTTTCATACTTGGATCAATGCACTGAGGGAATGGGTTACTTAAAAAAAATACATTGGAAGGATCCTTTGTGTAACATGAATAACTTTCCCCCCATTTATCTGTTTTAATTCCTGATTTTTAAATAATAGGATTTCTAGCCATAGGGGAACACATGAAAAATGTGTACTTTAAGCATGACTTTCTGCTTTCAGTGTTCTTATCTTGATTTCATGAAAATGAGCAACTTAGGTAATCTAATTATTTAAAGATACTTTTGCAGGCAGGAAAATATTTCCATTCAATATTTGTATAGGCAACATGCACTCTGTATCAGAGCCTAATTCACTTGGGTGTACTGAGATTCATGAAACTTATTAACACAAAGTAATCACATAAATAATGTAAAATCTAATTTTCTGTTTCAGACTATCAATTTTCCTTACCTATTCCCACTGCCCCCACTCTTTGCCTGATTCAGGTTCTTGTAATATTGTAAATTATGAGCATATTAAAAATGAAATTCATTAAAAAATTAAGTTAACCTTCCCAAACGCTGGGTTTTAAAAGACCTCCTTCTCAATAGCTTCTTTATTTGGGAATTTAGTCTTCAAGTTCAGTAGTAGTATCTGCAGTTGTGTTTTAGCATCCTTGAAACACTTCTGAGGGACGACCACTTGATCACTGGATGGCCATAAATATATAAAGGCCATACTGAGATGCTCTGAAAAGCTGGGCTAAGGTTTCTACATGTCGTGGAACATTACCTTTAGAGGTGCATTCTTGGCTTCAGGGAATTCCCTTTCATCCAGCCTCACCCAGCGCTGTATGAACTGCTGAACCATAGGGTTTTCGTTGTTGACAATCTGGAATCCTGTAATGTTGGCTCCCCCATGCATGACTCTTTCTAGCAAAATATCGGTAAAACCCTAGAAAGAGATTGAAAGAGAATAATGATTGTGGGAGGTCATGCATTCGTACTCACTGTATCTGTTGGTTAGAGCGCTAAGGAGGAAATGAAAGTTCCTTCCCCAGCATTCTTCTTTAGCAATCAAGGAAAACCTGGACAGATTGTTATATGTCAATTATATCTCAATAAAAACCAAAACCACAACAAACAAACAACCCTGATATGGACTAATTCTTAGGACACTCTGGCTCTGAAACTACAGGCATGGTGGAGAAAATATACATCCTTCCATTTTAGTGCCTGTGTCTTTAGTGTAGCGGCTGCAACGACAAACATAGGTGTCAACTTCAAATGTTTTTATTTCTTTCATTTACCTGTATTTTTAGTTTTTCTTCATTGAGCACAAATACAATGATTCATATAACTGGAAAATGTTGAAAACGTTGACCCTAGCTAGAGGTATCAAAAACTCTTCTTCAGCTTAACATGCCAAATGCAGCAGATTGCTTCAGACTCTAATAATGAGTACTTTCAACATTTGTAATTTACAGAAATGCCAAGAAGCGAAACTGACAGCTTGGTTGTATATGATGGTGCAAACCCCGGGGTATGTCTCACACGTGTCCCTGAATGTGTTTTGACATCTACTTCATAGCATCCACCATTTTCTTCTTTTGTCTCTTGCCAATTGCTGCTGATGCACTTGGGTCTTCAGTGGGCTCGAGCCAATTTATATTCATAAAGAAATGGGAAGAATTCTTCCTCTTTCCTTTAGATTCTCCTCCCCAACATTTACATGTAAAAATTTTCAAATATACAGAAAAGTTGAAAGAATTGTACAGTCACTTCAGATTTTACAATTAATATTTTTCTATCCATTCATCAATCCATTTCATTTTTTAGATACCTTTCAAAGTAAGTTGCAGATATTAGTATACTTCATACCAAAAGACTTCAGCACGCAGGCCATTAACTAGAGTTCAGTGTTTGCAGTTTCCATCCATCCTTCCTTCCTTCCTTTCCTTCTATCTTTCGGTAAAAGTTACGTCCAGTAAAATGCACAAATCTTAAATGTACCACTCGATGAGTTGATAAATGCATACACTATATTACTCAAATCCCTACTATTTCTCTAAAGTTTTCTTTTTTTACATTCTAAGTTTTCATTGAAGTATAATAATCATATAGAAAAGGGTATACATCTTTATTTTTTTCTTTTTTTAGAATGATAAGGTTTTTCTTTCTTTTTTTCTTTTTGGCTGCGTTGGGTCTTCGTTGCTGCGCATGGGCTTTCTCTAGTTGCAGCGAGCGAGGGCTACTCTTCGTTGTGGTGCACAGGCTTCTCATTGCAGTGACTTCTCTTGTTGCAGAGCACAGGCTCTATGCGCGCAGGCTCAGTAGTTGTGGCTTGCGGGCTCTAGAGCACAGGCTCAGTAGCTGTGGCGCATGGGCTTAGTTGCTCTGCGGCATGTAGGATCTTCCCGGACCAGGGCTCGAACCCGTGTCCCCAGCATTGACAGGTGGATTCTTAACCACTGCACCACCAGGGAAGTCCCAGTGCACACATCTTTAAATATAGCCTGATGAATTTTCACAACCTGAACACATGAATGTAACCAATATCCTGTACACCTCTCTCTCTAGTCACCATCCCTACAGCTGCTTCTTTTAATTCTGCATTTCTTTAACATGGTCAACAAGGCAGTCGTAGAAAATATTTTAGTGAAGCAGCTTTTTCAGTTATTACTCTCAGCCCCATTCCTCTTCCTTTCATAAGTGGGATATGAGCCAATGGAGACTGGACAAAGGGACAAATAGTTTGCATCACTGAGAACCATTCCTCCTTTCCAGTGACCCCAAAGTACTTTTTAAAATTAACATTAACTTGTTAGGATGGGTTTTCTCCTAAAGGCCTCCTTCCTGAAAGAAACTAAGACTCAGTGTTTTCTCCCATTCGCTCCCCTCTGCACTGCAGTCAGCAGAGAGGCTTGCCTGTGCGTAAAGCCTAGCAGAGGCTCCAGATGGGGCTTAAGCCTAACTGTTATCCAACTCCCAACTCTCACCCCCCAAACAAATATACAAATAAAGAGCTGAGGGCAAAACTTTAACAAATGGCTTTAAGTCGTTTACTGTGCCAAACCATACTTGCCAGTTAACAAGTATTACACAAGAGCATTGAGCAACTACCCATCTGTCTGCTGGCAGGGGTGAAGAGTGGGCTCTCTGGGGCTCTACTGTGTCCTAAAAGCCTGGCCTGCGAGGTGGAGGCCCCTTCCTTGAAAGAAAGGGGTTGAGAATGCTTCTGCCACCATGTTGGTTCCCAGGGTCAATGGCCACAGTCTGCACTAGGAAGTAGTATTTCTTGTGTCTTTTATACTTTGATAAGCATCGCACCCCTGTTCACCTCATACCTTAGCATGTTAAAATGGTAACACAGGATTAACAAAAAGGAGGGCGAGAGAAAGGATCCCAGAAATCTCACGTCTGCCTTAAGGCATAAGAGCCAGCACTTCAGTCTGGTTACTCACCATACCACTCCCTTCCAGAAACATTTTACCTCACTACCTTTTTCTTACAAGAGACACTAGAGGGGTCCAACTCAAATTTACCTCACCAGTCACCTGTGCTTACTTCCAGGAGGCTTCACTCTGCCACACAGGCCCCATGTATTCCCATTTGGCTGTCTTTCTCTCCAGTAGCATACCATACCACTGAGGACCTAGGAGTTTCTCAGTCAACCCGTGTTTTATGACAGCTGCGTCTGGGATTAAGTTCTGGCACCCCTCAGACTGGAACCAGCCTGGCTGTCCTCGTGAGATTAAATGCGTCCACGGCAGCACAAATCAAGCCAGGGGAAGGTCACCTCAAATGGCTCTTCTGTCTAGCAAGACCTGCGCGACACTAGCTCCTACTAACTGCCCTGAAGATTTACCCGTCCACATGTGCAGAATGCCTAACACAGCCCCATGGACAAAATGGAGAGAGCAGAAGTGTGGTAGAAAAAGAAAGGAGATACTGTAATAGGCTTTTTTTGTTTTCCTTTCATTCTCGTATATTTATTTTCATGACAAAGGTTTCACAGTGCTTACAATAACTGTAACAACAATAATTGTAAAATGGGAATAACGCTGATGAGAAACCCCTTCTATTTTAGTAAGAAGTCTGATGGAAAGTAGTTTTTCCAATAAAATTGTACTTTTTATTTGTATTTATTTTGTAACATCTTTATTGGAGTATAATTGCTTTACAATGGTGTGTTAGTTTCTGCTTTATAACAAAGTGAATCAGCTATACATACACGTGTGTTCCCATATCACTTCCCTCTTGCATCTCCCTCCCTCCCACCCTCCCTATCCCACCCCTCTAGGTGGTCACAAAGCACCGAGCTGATCTCCCTGTGCTATGCGGCTGCTTCCCACTAGCTATCTGTTTTACGGTTGGTAGTGTATATATGTCCATGCCACTCTCTCACTTCGTCCCAGCTTACCCTTCCCCCTCCCCGTGTCCTCAGGTCCATTTTCTATGTCTGTGTCTTTATTCCTGTCCTGCCCCTAGGTTCTTTAGAACCTTTTTTTTTTTTAGATTCCATATATATGTGTTAGCATATGGTATTTGTTTTTCTCTTTCTGACTCACTTCACTCTGTATGACAGACTCTAGGTCCATCCATCTCACTACAAATAACTCAATTTCGTTTCTTTTTATGGCTGAGTAACATTCCATTGTATATATGTGCCACATCTTCTTTATCCATTCATCTGTCGATGCATGCTTCCATGCCCTGGCTATTGTGACATATGACTCTTCTTGAAGTATGGTTTTCTAAGGGTATATGCCCAGTAGTGGGATTGCTGGGTCATATGGTAGTTCTATTTTTAGTTTTTTAAGGAACCTCCATACTGTTCTCCATAGTGGCTGTACCAATTCACATTCCCACCAGCAGTGCAAGAGGGTTCCCTTTTCTCCACACCCTCTCCAGCATTTATTGTTGCTAGATTTTTTGATGATGGCCATTCTGGCTGGTGTGAGATGATATCTCATTGTAGTTTTGATTTGCATTTCTCTAATGATTTATGATGTTGAGCATTCTTTCATGTGTTTGTTGGCAATCTGTATATCTTCTTTGGAGAAATGTCTATTTAGGTCTTCTGCCCATTTTTGGATTGGGTTGCTTTTTTTTTTGATATTGAGCTGCATGAGCTGCTTGTAAATTTTGGAGATTAATCCTTTGTCAGTTGCTTCATTTGCAAATACTTTCTCCCGTTCTGAGGGTTGTCTTTTCATCTTATTTATGGTTTCCTTTGCTGTGCAGAAGCTTTGAAGTTTCATTAGGTGCCATTTGTTTAGTTTTGTTTTTATTTCCATATCTCTAGGAGGTGGGTCAAAAAGGATCTTGCTGTGATTTATGTCTGCCTATAGTTCTGCCTATGTTTTGTAATAGGCCTTTATGGAGATGAAAGGAGAGATCTTGTTGCTAAAGGGCAAGAGTTGGCTGGCTCTTGGTCCTAATTCTCCCTCTGGCCTATTTGTGTACGTTTTGCTTATTTGTAATCTCTAATCAGATTCTATGGCTTGAATGTTGCCCTGGTGCCCAGCATTTAGATGCAGCAAGTCACAGTTCTCAAGGTTGAGATAATCAAGGCTGGATTCTCTCTAATCCCTCTGCAAAAACATTAATGTGACACAGCTAACCAACAATTATGAAGGACACAGAAGGGAAAAGGAGAAAAGAGGTGAATCGCAGAGAAGGGAATGCAAGGAAAACTGACTGAAAGGCAGGAGTTGGTTGACTCTTGATTGCCCTATTTCTGATACCTTTTCTTCAAAAAGAATTATCTTTTTGTATCAAATATTGCTAAATTCCATGGTTCAAGTGGCACTGACAGTCTACAAGATTGTAAAACTTAAAGCTTGATTCTTTCTACAGCCTCTTCAGAGACACTAATGCGGCAGAGCTGACATCCAACAGGTAGGAGAGGAAAGGAGGAAAGAGAGAGAGAGAAGGACGGTGACAGTTCAG